TCTTCTCTTGAAACAACTAGCATCGGTGACATCAGTGAAGGACCTGCCAGGCCAAGAGTGAAATGCCTCTACCATGTCTTAGAAGATTCTACTTCTAAACTTTCCCCAGGCCTGTGCCTTGCTGTCAAGATGACCCACAAGTTCCCAAATTGCCCAGTCCTGAGATTTCTTCCCCGCAGTTAACTGGCACCGTGCTGAAAGCTCTCTCATCTCTGCTGGCTTTTCACCTGAGCTTGCCTTCCTGATTCCCACATTCCTAGATATTTGCCAATCTGGACTACTGTGGTGCTCCTAGATCTGCTCCCTGCAAGATGATTCAATAGTCTGGCTCCCCCCGATTTCTATGGTAACCAGCGGGATGGGTGCTCTTGCACTGCCATCCTTCTCTGCTGTGCACATGCTGCAAGGAGATGCCCACTTCACAGCTATGCCTGCATCTCTGCTCAGCACCCTTCTAACCGTGGCTTTGGTTCTCTGGCCACCAGCACTTCCTTGGCTGTCCTCAGCAACATTCACACGTAGGTAGGTGTTGGGGGTGTTCAGCCAACGGGTCTTTTCTTTCTGCTGCTTCTGGGCATACTGGCGGAGGGTAGAGATGGGGCCAGCCTCCTCTTCGAAGACAAAGGCGGTGACAGTGGCTGGGATCTCCACCTCACTCTTGTGCTTGATTTTCTCCTGGACGAATGGGTAACGGTAGGTGTAGCCAGTCCGGTAGCCCTGGAAAGAAGAAAGGGGGTTCACCCCGTGTTGCTACTCATAGAGAGAGGCTGCTTGTCTTCTGCAAATCTGCCTGGGAACAAGCTCACGCAAACTCCAGGATCTGGAATGGGACTGAAGTTTTGAAAAGTCCTGAAATGCCTCCCATTCATTAAGCCTTCTTGGGCTTGCATTCCTATACATAGATGTGTGTGTGGGCCACATCTGTTGTCTCAACAACTTTGGGCTTTGTGGAGCACATCAAGGCTTGCATTCTGAAGGCTGGGGAGGCCAGGAGGCATTTTTGAAAGAGACTGAAGGGATTAAAGGAGCCTTAAGTCTCTGCAAGATTTAAGTAGAGCTTGCTTAGCAACCGCCTCATTCAGCGACCATTCAAAGTTATGGCAGTGCTGAAAAAAATAACTTTATGACCAATGCCCACATTTACGACCTTTGCAGTGTCCTTCAGTCATGTGATCGCCATTATAGTCAGTACGTGTTGTCCTGTGCTTGACCTGTTGTTTTTCTCCCCCTTGCAGAGCAGAGAGATTATAGAGGAAGAGATTACAAGAGGGTAAGCAGGCACATAATGGGGAATGTACATTGAAAGCAATGCGGCGGCACCAGCAGCCCTGAGTGTGCTCAGGGCTGGGAGCTGCGAGCGCATCACACAAACCAACCATTCTCCATTGTGTGCTTGCTTACTCTTTTGTAATCCCTTCCTCTCTAATCTCTCCACTCTGCAAGGTGGGGGGAAGAATTCTGTAGGCAATCTCTCCTATGCCTGACCTGTTTTTTCCTGTCCCCTCTCTCCTCTGCAGATTAGGGAGATTGGAGAGGAAGGGATTACAAGAGAGTAAGCAGGCACACAATGGGAAATACTCCAGCTATATGTTGAGTGCACTCACTGCTGCCGGCATCACCTCATTCCTTTCGATGTGTATTCCCCATTGTGTGCCTGTTTAACTCTCTTGTAATCCCTTCCTCTCCAATGAATGTACATGCAAATATTGATTCCCTTATTAATTATCCCAACGCTGGGGTGAGCATTCCAAAGGGCAGGGGAGTGGGGAAAAAGGAAAGCACAGTTGTAGTCACGTGATTTCCTACTTAGCAGCTACTTTGCTTAATGACAGAGCTGCCGGTCCCAATTGTGGTCGCTAAACGAGGACTACCTGTACCAATTTTCCCTTGCAAAACCCTTTCAATTTTTAAAACACCACTAAAAAGAAAAAGAGCTGGGGGTGGGGTGGGGTGGGGTGGGCTCTGGAACTTCACAGGGATCCTGGCAGACAGCATCGAGCCCTGAACTGCACATGGCTCTAATCCTGCAAGAGTGTTTCGGGGGCAGATCTGATGGATGTATTTAATGTGGTCCCTCAATAGGTCATGCTGGTGCAGATGTCAGGCTGGAATCGTTCAACTCTTTTTTTTTAATAGCCAGCAGCCATCTGATGGGCCAGCAGAAGCATCCCAAAACTCCCCTGTTCAAGTTTGCCTCTTTCCCTCCAAAGACCCACCAGTGATTTACAAATAGGAAGAATGCCAATTTTATGACGAGGTCAAGGAATGTATTATGAGAGCTTCTCTGCTCGCAAACCTACTAGATTGTCCAGCATCCTCATTAGCGCTTCAAATTCGTGCTCTCCCAGGCGGCTCTTCTGCATAGGCCCAAAGGTGCTGCCAGCCCATCGGACCAGACCAACGTCATGGGGCCTGTGTTTCTCCCCTTCCAAGAGGATGAGATGCTCGGGTCCACCAGCACTAGACAAGGCAGCGACCTAAAGGAAGCAGACGACAAAAGAGAACTTGAGATGCATAGGAGAAAACAGCACATGGCCTCTGAGGTTACTAGGATCTGCCTTCTGTGCCCAGGCAGAGCATGGTGTTGAAGGCAGCCTGAAGAAGCATCGTTTTCTGTGCACCACCTCCTGACATCCCCAGCCATGCTTTGCAGGCTCTGGCCATGCTTCAAAGACCCATTTGGTCATGGCAATACTGAATGTCATTTCTCAAAATAGAATAAGGACTCCTACTTCAAGTCATGTACATGCTTTAAAATATTTTTTCATCAAGAAAAGCAGGCCCCTTTCTGTGTCACTTTATAGTCATGGAAATGAAAAATACAGAGAAGTTAAGGTGATGGATTTGCGTGATTACATTCTAGCACAGCAAATCAAAGTCCCAGGGAGGGTTTCCTTGAAAGGGCTTCTGAGCAGCCCAGTCTAAGTCAACAGGAGTGTTACCAAGGACTTCTTGGGATAAGAGGGTTAGGCAAAGGTCACAGACCCGGTGGTCAAAGCAGCGACTGGAACAGAGTTAGAAGTTCAGTGAAACTGCTAGAAAGGACTAGAACAGAAGGGAATATTTCCAAATTTGCAAAATTCCGAATTCTGACATTCAAATGTTGAATGTGACATTTTAAAATCACAAGTTTAATACACATTTCAAATGGGCAGACTCATCTCAAATCTTAAAATTGGAATTGCTTGGGCTCCTTGGTTGTGTGAAGTGTTGGCAGAGCCAGAAGACAGGTGAGACAGGGTGAGTTTTGGGGGGTGTGTGATTATTTCCTCCCACAGAAGTAACATTTCACCTTCAGGAGTGAGGTGGGGGGGTGTCCTAGAGGTGGGGGGGCTGGCTCTCTAGGAAAGCAAACCAGTTTTGAGATTGTCTTGGGGAAGAATGACAGCTAGGGGAAGTGGGAGGTTTACTCCTAAAGGGAATAGTGGCAGGTGCAAGGGGGGGTGGGGATCAGCATGAGATGCAGTTTGGATGTTTTAAAAAGGGTGAGATGCTTCTGCAATTCCCCCTGGAAGTGTTCTTCCCCAAGACAATCTCAACGTCAAGTCTGTCTTGCAATCTCCCGGAGCTCGCTGGGAGAAAGGGAGAGCATCCTTTCTCCCATCAGAAAAGAAAACTCAAGAAACAAAACACAAATAAGCATGCCGGGAAAAAAGCAAGGGCCCAGAGTTTTCTATCACCTGAGACCTGCCACCCCTGCTTTGCAGCCAAGGCTCTGAGGAGCTGAGGTTGTGCTCGAAAGCAAAGTTGGAGTGTCCACAGGTGTGTTCACATGGAACTTCACTGGGGCATTACCCCTGAAGAAAGAAAGAAACAGGACAGCTCCCTCTCTTTTTCTCCACCATTCTCAGTTGAGAAATGCCAGAGTTGAGCTCTCCTTGGAAGCGGCAAATTCTGACCCTGCATGACCCGGGAATCCAGCCTCTAACAAGTGGAATGCAGTTGCACCAGCAAGAGGGAAAGGTCTCTTACATCCCACACCGCCACTCTCCTCCTGCCCCCACCAGCAGCCAATGTGGCAGGGGGTCTTGGCCCTTTGCAAAATGGTCCTTTCATCTTCCCTCTGCAGCCTCTTGCAGTCTTGCCTGTTTGCAAAGGTGGGAGAGAAGTCATGGCAGAAGGGTGGATCTGGTCCATGCAGTTCCTCGGCAGAACAAGCCCCTGATGCTATTCCAAGTGCCAGGAAGCAGGAGAGGCACAGAGGAAGTACTCCAGTCATGGGTCTTTAATCAATACATGAAGGATCTCTAATCTGTTTGGACTCCGTTTCCTATTCTTTAGAATCCTGTTGTGATTTATTGTGTGATTTAGCAAAGAAAGGCAAACACATCTGCAAGGAAATGGACTAGGCTGCTTAGGTCTATCAGTTATTATTAAGGGGGGCACTGCAATGGGTGGGTCCCTTGGAGCTCCCAGAGCCTTCCAAGTCATGCTGCTAGAACTTGATAGCAAAATTATGATATTTGGCAACGCATTTTTAAAACCACGATGGTGACAATTTAAGGAAGGAGCAACATGTTTTCTGTTATCCCATCCAAACAAAAAGGCTCTGCATATCTCAGTCCCACCCATTCTGGGGTGACTGCTAGGGGCTGGGGGCAAAAAACCAAAACAGTACGTCTGTCAGTAGACAAAAAAATGCCTCCCCCTGATATTTTTCCCGAAACCCGTTCAAGCTTCATTGGAAGGAGGCGCTTGGAAGAGCACTCTCACCCAGCTGTGGGCCAACCAAGAAGCTCAGCTCTGATACCTGTTATCTAACCCTACTCCCTTGTAACCTGTGTCCCACCATCTGTTCCCAGGGGCACCTTTATAGGTTTCAACACAAGATCTTCCCCAGGTGGCATTTTTCTAAAAAAGCAGTACTAACTATATAACTATAAAGGTTAAAATACTGCAAATGGAAATGGGCTAAAAGAATTATGGTGGACCAGCTTGGAGTTTTCCAAATTAGTTCAGATTAAAGCTATAATTTGAAATGGGGAATTCACACCACTTTTAGAGAATCTCCCTTAAGCCTGCAACAATTCAGAGCAAAGGGCTGCACAGTAAGGCGAGACAATCGTCTCTCTCTCTCTGTGCTGCTGCTGCTGCTTTATGGCACAACTCTATGGCTTCAGAGCATGGGGTTAGCACTTTTCTAGAATAGCACTTAACCCATTTGAGAGTATCTGATGATAGTCAGGCACTCTTTAAAGGCACCCTTGCAGAACAACTTGCACATTTAAAGAGCAAGTTTAAATCCACAATCTGATAATCTGTTAACATTTGTTTTCTCCCCAGACCACGTTAAGGAGAATGATTAGTGAATGTTTTCTGCCAAGTGGGGATATTAAGCGAGAGGAGAAAGAAACAAAGAAACCAACCACCGTTCTTAACATACTCTGTACAACGTAAAGACAGCACTATTAGCTGGCAAGGTGCCTATGGCATGATGTGAATTGCCAGTGGGGGCAACACATTTTATGTAGTATTGTTTTCTGCCAATTCAAAAACTATAACAATGATAAATTATTGATAAGTTGATATGTTCTCAGTATTATTAATTAACCCATTTTGTAACAAGCACCGTATATATTTCTTATTTGAGATAGTTTGGAGTTATGGGAGGGAGGGAGGGAGGGAGGGAGGGACAATGTTGTCATGTATGACAAGGCATACAGGTAGTCCACACTTAAGCAAGGAAACATGGTTCTGGGGGAGCTGCAAATTACCATCAAGGTGAGAATGTCACCAAAAATAGCATTCTAGAAAAATGTTTCCCATAACTAAGTGGAAAACACAAATTGTGTTTTACACATTTCTACCGCCCTTCTCCCTCCAAGCAATGTGTTTTTGACTACAGTGTTTTTACACGCTAAGGAGAGGGGAGTGAGGAGGAAAATTCCATTCCAGCATACTATTTTTGCTAGCATCTCCTTCTTAACTGAATTATGTCATTTCCCCATTTTATTCTGTCTAGTTCTACAGAATGAGCCTTGCCTGTGATGCAAAGCAAGGCAGAAGGCATGTACATTTTTCGTTGTTCTGGAGCTCACCTGGACTTCACAAGCAGCCTGCAAATGGAAGACCTTATAGAACGCTTCTTCCACTGTATCTCCAAGAGCCACCAGGCCATGATTCCTGAGCACTAAAACCTGCTCAAAGAAACAGCAAGACAATGGTTCCAATATAAATAGCTAAAGATTATGAAATCTTTATTTACCCTGTTGCATTCTTCTCAGTTCTGAACCACTCTCATGTTCTAATCCAAGGAAGTATAAATTCCATGGGCCAGTCTGCGCAGAGATTTAGTTGAAGTCCAAGATTACATTCAAAGTCAAACAACATCTCTCAAGCCTAACCTTGCAGGTGGGTCCAAGACATTTCTGCAACTCAATTCTGTCTGCCTCTCCCTCCATTTCACCATTGAAGTCAAAATACACCATATCACCTGCCAGCAGTGCATCATGGGAAATTGGCAAGAGACCCTGTTTCATTGCAGAGACCTGTGAAGGAAGTAAAGCAAAGATCTTTCAGCTATGCAGAAAAAACCCTCTACACACTTTGTATGCCTTTCCAGTTCAAATAGAAGATTCACCCCAAACTATCTAGAATGAAGCTGTCATCCATTTTTTTTAGATTACAATATCCTACAAGGTGCAAACAGAGCTGTTGACCAAACTGACTCAGACATGCAGCCCCTACATACCTGGAGGACAGACGATTGAGAAAAGCTACACTAAAGACATGGGCTGATGAAGGACACCTGCTTTCATAAGCACCAAGATTACTTATTCATGGAAGGAAAGCTAAAACAAGTTGCTTCAGCTCTCTTCAACATCCCACCCATGAGGTGTCTGCACCATTTATGGCTTCTTCCCATGGTCTTCCTGGGTTTCCAGTCTGTTTCCCCTCCAGGTTCATTGCTTTGTTTCCCTCTTAACATCACCTTACAGGAGTCCAATTATTTCTTTTGCCTTGGGCTGCTTCCATGACACCCTATGCAAAGAACTTGTAGGCCAGCTATGGGATGACCTCAAAGTCTAGGTTCACACACTGAATTAAGCCATGGTTTGCTTAACCTTTGCTGACTATCACAACACGCTCAACCCACACAAAACAAAACATATCACAGCATAATACAATGTGTGAACCATCCAGCAGTTGTGAGAGTTGCATCCAGAGGGCCTGGAGGAGTCCAGAGTTGAATGGAAATGGGGTGGGGAGTCACCTCTCTGTCCCTCAATCTGCTTGTGCAACACCTCTGAGAAGGAGCAGAAATGCCTGCCAGCCTCTTCCATAAATCAACCTGAAGCTCTCAGTGTTCTGTCAGAAAGATGGGCGTCCCTGCTTACTGCAGTTGTGGCTGGTGTGTGCAGGTGGATGACACATCTCACGTCAGGCCGAGCCGCATAGATGGCCGAGTGCAGGCTGAATCCCTGGGCGTCGACTGAAAAGCTGGTGCTGCCTTGCTCCACCACCTTCCCCAGGATATTCACTTTAATCTGTGGAGCAAAGGGGGATGGAAAGCAGGGTGGGACATCAGATAAGAAGGCGGCACTCTCCTCGGCTGGCTCTGGAGCAGCTTTCTTCAGTCAGTGGGGAAGGGGAGCAATGAATCCCAAAGTGGGGAGAAGATCCTGGGATTCCAAATTCTTTTCAAGCTTACAGAAACGTCAGCCTGTGCCACTCCTCTGGGCTTGCCTGCTTTCGATAATTTTTGGTGCACCCAGTGTGTCTCCATGCAGAGCACAGCAGAGCACAGCAGAGCTCCTCTCCTCTAGCAGAGGCTACCCCTTGCATCTCTGTATGAGTCCCTCCCCTGGGTCTGCCTGTTCCCAGAAGAATGTGCCCTTAGGCGCCTTTCTCATGGCTCCTCTGTGGGATATGGCTTCTCAGGTTAGATGCTGTCCTTCTTTGCCTATAACTGTTATATCCTGCCCAGGTCCCAGGACTGGGGTAGGCTATAAATATGGTAAAATGAAATCAATACATTTGTGTCACAAAAGCAAAACCTGAATTGGCCCAAACGCTCCTTTGCTAGAGGAACACCATTTCTCTTCTTTCTCCCTGGCACATGTACAGCGAGATCCGTTCAGGACAGAACTCCAGGGATATGGAACATGAGTCTGCCATCCAAAACAGGTCTCTGATGGGTGGAATAATTCACCTGTGCCTGATGATATCATTGTACTACTGCGCACCTGTCTTTCAGGGGCAGCCTGCCTATGGAATTACAAGTGAGAACGCTCTGTGAATTCCAGCGGGGGATTTTGTCCCCCTGCCCCCGTTTCTCATGACGAGCACTTTCATTCTGGAAAGGCTGCTCTTAATGATTGCTGTGAGCGAGAAAACACAGCTGGTTGCAAAGCTGCAATCTGCAGTCCCTGAAGCAGAGCTGGACCCAAGAGTCTTGCATGCTCACCAAGCTGGATGCTGTAACTTCGTGACAGGAAAGGCCCTCGGGACAAACCAGGAAATGTTCCTGCTCTTTGCTGACTCTCAGCTGTGAAAGGAAGGAAGGGTTAATTTCGGGTCTTTCTCTCCTCATTCACTGATCAAGAACATAAGCTGTGCCCTGCTGGAGGGGATCCAGCAGTCTGTTCTTGCAGTGGCCAACCAATTGCCCTAGGAAGCCCACTCATCTCCCAGCAGAGGGCCTTCAGAGACTGCTTCAGAGACACTGCCATCAGGACTAAGAGCCACTGATCCCCAGGACTTCCAGGAACTGGTTATTCCATGACATTCATTCATTCAATTTGCATACTGCAGAATCAATGAAGACTCAAAGCAGTTTACAATCCAATAAAAACATGCAATCGATTAATCATAACTGATCAATTATGTCCACAGTGAACAAAATTTAAATCAAAATTATAAACAAGGAAGAGGAGGAAAAGAAGTAAGAATAATTATTATTCAAACAGGTCCTTCAGACAGTTGCTCATGACCTGGTCACCTCATAATTGGACTACTGCAACATGGTCTATGTGGGGCTGCCCTTGAAGACTATCTGGAAGCCACAGCTGGTTCAAAATGCAACAGCTTGAACAGCAGTGGGTGCTTCTAGTTGCGCCCATATGTCATTGCTGCTTCACAAGTTGTACTGGTTACCACTTGACTTCCAGGTGCAACTGAAGGTGCTGGTCATCACCCTTCGATAACCTTCAGGCCTGGTTATTTGAGGGACTGCCTGTCTCCAACTGTTTCTGCCTTTTTAGTATGATGGGTAGAGTGGATGTACTCTGGCCCCTTCAGTTAAATGTCACCTTGCAGGACTGAGGAAGCACATCTTCTCTGTCACAGCACTTGCCCTCTGGAACAGCATCCCCCCAGAGATACATGCAGCTCCTAGCCTTCAAATCTTCCAGAAGTCTCTTAAGATCTGGCTCTGTTCCCAGGCCTGGAGTTAGGGTGTTTGTGGAGCTCCTGGCAATTTCTTTTAGGTTATTTATGTGGTTTTGTCCAGATGGTCATGCTCCTTTTAAATCATGTATTCTTTTAAATATTGCAAGTCACCCAGAGTCTTTCTGGAGCTGGGCAGGCTCAAAATCCAACAAACAAACAAACATATAAATTAAATAATATAACCAAAATATAAGACAAAATGGAACGTGGCAATTAAACTGAGATTAAAAACTGGTGGCAAGTGAAATTAACTAGTCACTAAGCACTCTATGAAAGACTTCCACCTTAAGCAGCTTATGGAACTGCTAAAAAGTCTGCTTTTCGAGGCAGTGCCCAAGAGGCATGATGGAAGATGTTTGATGACCACAAAGACCCATGAAGGGAAGAGGCCATCTGACAAGGGCTCCTCAAACCACTTTTGCTTAAGCCCTACCCCAACCAATACAAGAAACTTCTCCAGGACAAAGGACCAAGCACATCTCCAGCCCTCTAGTGGTGCAGCCATGCCTACATTTGCCTTGGCCAAAGGACATACTTTACCACCCATCAGTCTTCTGGTGGACAGACTGTCCTACATATTTTTTTGTTTAGGGAGCTAAGAGAGAAAACTGGTTACTTTCCAAGAGCAGGGGGAGAATGGATTGTGGCAACAAGGATTGGCCGTTAAAAATACGCTGCTTCCCCAACCTGGTGTCCTCCAGATGTATTAAGCTACAAATTCCTTTATGCCAGCTAGCACTGCTATTGCCCAGGCTAACTTGGAAGATGGACTTATAGCTCAAATATGGTTTTCCCTGTTCTGCCAAGCCTAATGACTCATGACAAATCCCCAACAAATTATCTGTTCATTCCACTGCTTGCTATTGCATTTCTCTGCATCCTAAGAGGTCACCACATTGGCCTTCTAAAAGATAGTTGCTTACTTTGAGGCCAAAGTACTTTCTCATTAAAAGAAAAATAAAAGAAACCCAGTTTTATTCTGACGTATAACAAAGGCGGCACTCAGCAAGGCTGGGCCAGGAGAGAGGAGGATTGGATGACTCACCGTGACTGAGGTGCCACTGAGCTGTGCCCAGCCGTAAAGGTCCAACAGCCGATAGACACTGCCAACTTTGCAGCGCATGAGCCTCTCCCCTTTGGCCAGCGACACAGAGTCAGTGCCATGGAGGTCATTGATAGGTGTCACTGTGGAAAGGTCTGCAAGAGAAAATCAAGCATAGAGTTGCTAGAAAACAGAACTGAGTAACATGGCAAGGCAAGACCTGAAAGCTTTGGGGTGGGCTACTAACTCAATGGGCTCGCTCCACCACTGCTCAAGAAATGGACACTTCTTTCCTGCCTGTTCTTGCTTCAGTTTCCATCAGAGATGCAACCCCCTTGCAGTTGCTTGCAAAACTCTGGGTGTTCAGAGAGCATATTCAGTGATTTAAGAAGATGTTTTCTTTTTGTTGAAGATAATTCTTCAAACAGTATGCTCCTTTATATTGTAAGGTAGTGTTTCTCAACCTTGGCGACCTTGGCATGCTGGCTGGGGAATTCTGGGAGTTGAAGTCCACACATCTTAAAGCTGCCAAGGTTGAGAAACACTGCTGTAAGGTATTCACAAGTCTGCTAGCAGCTCCTGTTTCTAGAGAGATCTGATCTGACCATGACAACACACAGCTGGTTAACATCCCGTTTGGACTACTGTGGTCTCCTGTGTGTGGGCCTGCCTTTGGAGAGGGTCCAGGGATTCAGAGGACGCTGAGTGCTGTAACAGGACTACTGACCAGGGGGAGCAAAAGGACCAAGGGGCTCCTTTTCGCAGCCGCTTAAAGGCTGACCCGTTCTGGACATAATCTGGACAATGATGAAAAAGCTTTGTATAACCTGGGAGCAGATTATTGAAAAGGCCACCATCTCCTGCATTACCCAGTGTAAGACCTTCAGGAGAGACCATTATCTTAATTTGTCACTCTCAGAGTCCCTCTTGACACCAACAGGGGTGGGGGTTCTCAGTGGCTTCTCAGTGGCTGTTCCATCTCCTTGACTATGGAACTCCCTGCCAAATGATGCTAGACGTACTCAATTCTGATGTCATTTCTCAGCATAATAATGTTGCTGTTAGATAGGACTAGAGCATATACTGGAAGATGAAATTGTAGGGTGTTCTGAATTTCTCTATTTACTTAAGATGATGCTGGTAACGGACCAGCTTCTTTTCCACAACCAGATTAGCAGCATGCACTCACCAAAGGAGGCAACCACAGCAAGAGACTCTGGCTCTTACCGCACAAGCCAGGAAGAGGGTTTGTAGCCCAGAACTTGCTGTAACGGAGACCCATGTTGCCCGATGGCGACCGTGTCTTCACTGCACCCCACCATCTGCTGAGAATTTTTACCCCTAGACCTTCAAAGGACAGAAAGCCACCAAGGAGGAGTGTCAGCCAAAAGTGTGATCTCGTTGTAACCTGGAGACCCAGGAGAGGTCTGGGCATAAAATCCAGACATCAGCAGAATTAAACTCTAGAAGAACAATCCAGCTGTAGTCATCCACACAAGCTTAAGAGTGTCAGGCCCAGCCCAAGAACAACAGGGAGACAGTCCAGCCAAGTTCAGTTCTTTATTGCTTACACCATACAGACAGAATCTTGCCAGACTAAATCCGTACTATGCTAACCTAACAGATACGCCCTGGGAGAATCTAGGGAGCAGCTATCTTAAGTCTCTTCCTCTTCCCACACTCCTGCTCCGGACTGTGCTGCTCTTGTCTCCCCGCTTTCCCTTCTGGAACGCGCTCCCTTCTTCCTGAGAACCTGGTACTCTATTGCATTCCATCACAAGAGAGAGCCCACTCAAAAATGGTGGGCAGGGAAAGCCAGGTGGGGGAACAGTACAGATGGAAAATCAGAGCTCGGCCAATCTGACTCTACAGAACTTCAGGGGACAAGCTGGAAGAGGAAAGAAATGGAATGGAGGAGGAGGAGGAGCATCTGCTCAGAAACCCCAGCATGACCCAAAGACCCTCGATCGGATACCAACGTACTCAAGGGTGAAGTAGGGAAGACGGAGGGAGCAGTGCTGGCCATGAACTCGGCAATCTGCTGAAGGGCCCAGATGTTGGAGTTGTTTCCTTTCTTCATCTGCTCTTGGATGAGACTCTCCAGCTCCTCCCTGAAAGACTGAAAACATCACAGAATCTCTCTCCAAACTGCCAAAACAGGATTTTAAGGGGTGGTACAATTCAGGTGCATTTGTCATGTTGACATTCAGAAATCAGGAGGAGAACACTTCAGCATCTTCCAGATACTCATCTGTGATATGGAAGTGGCCATTTTTGAACAAAGGAGCTTCAGTAACCACTGAAATTTACCTTAATATGATCTTGAAGTCCATCACCTCTAGGCTGAATTGTGATAGTGGCTTCCTCTTCTCATATAGCTGCTATAACATTTGTTTGTTTTTGTAAGATGCCACAATATTTTTTTTAAGGCACCCCATGGGTCACACACTGCATCTAGAAGAATTACTATAGATCAGAGATCCTTACATTCTCTCTAGGACCACATTGAGTCCAAAGTCCTTTCATAGAATATCCACTCCTGGTTTTCTCCCAAGCTTTCTTGGTTAGGCTGATGTTGCAGGGGATGGTGGAATACCATTTTTGTGGGGTCCTTGGGGTTCTCTGAGCTTGGTTCTTTTCTTTCTATTGATCGCTAAATCCAAAAATGCAAAGAATTCTTGGAAGCTTGGTATTCAGACAAGGCAGCAGTCAACAGACACATAGA